GCTTGTCTCTACTTCGTTTGCCTGTAGCATTTCTCGCTTGTCTCTACTTCGTTTGCCTGTAGCATTTCTCGCTTGCGTCGTCCATTTTGGTGACGCACCGGGGGAGGGTGCGCAGTGCTCTGATCGCAGGAGCAAACGATGGGCGGGTATTTCTCGAAGGACCTGGAGGAGTGCCTGCGCAAAGAGAAGAGGAATATAAACAGGTCGATCAGGGAATTGGAGAGAGAAATATTTAAGCTAACAAAAGAGCAAAGCAGGATCGAAAAAGACATTAAAATAAAAGCAAAACAAAATGACATCACCACAGTGAGCACCCTGGCTAAGGATTACATTCAAATTAAAAAAAGCATCACCAAGTATAATAAAATAAAGTCGCATTTGTGTTCAATGCGAATAAAAGTACAAAGTGTAAAATCGTCTGAACAACTTGGCAGGAGTCTCAGTGAAATAAATAATATCATTAAAAGAGTGAATGGGTATATAAAACTGACCTCGTTGAATAACACAATTCATGAATACCAGAAGGAGAACAACGAAGTGTCTTTGAAGGAAGACATGCTAGATGACTTGTTTGAAGCTTTTAATTATGACTCTGAGATGGCTGTAGAAGAACATGAACTCGTTACTAAAGTGCTCGAGGGGATGGGGGTTCAGATGAACGCCAAGCTAGATGACATCCCCGCCCCGGGGGAACTTGAAAATGTACAAGTGGACCCCATGGGGGTCGCCGACCTGGAGGCGCGACTCAATAACCTGCGCCTGGGCAAGCCATGAGAATGAGCGACAGTCTAGTCGCACCCGAGCAGTGCAGAGCAGAGCGATGCAGTGTACACGTTATGTGCATGGGGCGATGAACGCACGCTCGTGTGTCTTTTTTTTTCACCTCGTAAAATTATATGTAACCACTTCGTACAACACCTCTCCATCACCTGACTCCCTCCACACCCACATCGCACATGATACACAAAAAAAATTCCCCATCCCGACTGCTCTTCGCAGAATGAATTACAAACTACGTAGTGTGTGAATTTCTTTTTTTTTCTTCCACCTTGAGGTGGTGCCTTTTTATATGCTCGACAATTTCTTCAACCACGTCCTCCACAGGGGGCAGGCCTCCTATTCCTTTGAAGGGAAAATGTGCGCAGCAACAATGTGCGGTAAAAATGTGCGGTAAAAATGTGCGGTAAAAATGTGCGGTAAAAATGTGCGGTAAAAATGTGCACGGTAAAAATGTGCGGTAAAAATGTGCACGGTAAAAATGTGCGGTAAAAATGTGCACGGTAAAAATGTGCGGTAAAGAAAGGCGCGACACGCTGACTTTGGCCGCCACGCGCCCCTCACCGTAGTCTCCACACGCGAGGAGCTTCTCCACGGGTTCCACCACCTGCACGCCCCACGACGTTATTCTCTTCAGCTGCTCCCGCGTTACGGGGTGTTCGTACATGTGTGTGTTCATGCAGGGGAAGACGACCAGGGGCTTCTTAAAATCCCAGCACCGGCATATGCAGGTCTGTGGGGGGGGAACTCAAAACGGGGCACGAAAGTGAGCGAGGGGAGCGGCATGTAAAAAGACGTAAAGAGAGCCGCGCGGCATGTAGCGACATGCGAAGTGAGCCGCTGGCACGCTTCAACACCCACCAGCAGGTTGGGGCAGGCCCCTGAAGACACCGACGCCAGTGTGTTCGCATCCATGGGGCAAACGACAAACAGGTCAGCCCATTTCCTCAACTCGACATGCAAAATAGCATCCCCCTTCTTCTCCCATGTCCACTCGTCTTTATCCAATAGAACCTTCTCACCAAAGTCAAGCTGCTTCAAAAAAGTATTATATGCTAGAGTGGTCGCCACGTATTTTATTTCCACGTGTAGGTTGCACTCGGCACACCGTTCCTTCAATCGCTCTTTCACTTCTGCAAGTTTGATGGCAGCGACGCTGGCGGTGACACCGATGAGGAGATTCATTTGGTGTAAAATGAACAGTTGTGGGTGGCGGCGCTTCTTCTCCCTGTCGCCACTCTCCCCCTCTTTTTTTTTTGTTCTGTGTAATGTTCTACCTCCTCTGTAACGGGGCGTACACCCCACCAAATGATATGCACTGTTATATATATAAGCGTCCCCCTTTGGGTCGTTGCGACAAAAAAGGTGAATTGAATTCACTTAGGATGGAGCGTTTTTATTATCCCGGCGACAAGAAGAAGGAGAAGAGGAATGTGGTGTGGCGGCTTCTCAACTAAGTTTACTCAATCGTCCCCGCCTATGAAAAATGTTATAAATCATGTTGGTGGTGCGTCCTTTTTTTCTCTTCGTTTTTTTTTATTTACGTGGACTTGACCCCGACATGCGAACTGGCCCCATGTTTGTATATAGTAACCATACATGATAAAAAAAAAAAAAAAAAAAATTCTATCTTATTTTGTTACATTTAGGGAGACGTATTTTTTTTTTTTTTTTTTTTTTTTTTTTTTT